GCGCTTGCCTTGCATGCATGAGGCCCTGGGTTCAATTCCTCAGCACCACATAAGCAAAAAGAAAAAAGCTGCAAATGGTGCTTTGGCTTAAGTTGTAGAGCTTTTCCCTTGAGCTGAAGAGCTGAGGGACAGCGCCCAGGCCCAGAGTTCAGGCCCCACTACCGGACCCACCGCCCCCCCTCAAAAAAAAGACATCAATACTACTACAATTTTTAAAAATTCCTTATGATACTGAAGATTCAGTCATAAACTATTAATACTTGAAAATAACTCATTTTCTTGGGAGTAGGACACAAAACACAAGATTAATCCAAATCATTTTCAAAGACCTTTATTTATACTACAAATTCACTATTATAACTACAAAGATTCTAAAAATAACTGAAGCACAGTGACACAAAGGACATAATTTATCTGCATCAGCTACATTCAAAGGACCGTGCTAATAGAAAACAAAGTTATACTAATAATTAGCTTCCCGAATTCACTTGCATTCTTTAATTCTTTTTCTTTTAGTTTCATAAAAACTGGCTTTCCATAAAATGATGCATAAAAAGCCTATATACCCACTTACTTTTTCAGATTTTAACAATGCTTATTGCAGAAATGTTTTTAGCTCTATAGTCAATGAACTGAAATAATAATAAAATATTCAAAGGGTTTTCAGAAATTGTAAGACTCGCTCTGAGATGTTATTTATATTCAAAAAGATATTCAAAAAGCCTTACTTGTTAAATTTGTGATAATTACTCCAACAAAAGTACTATTAATGAAGAAATCTTTGTATGTACAAAACAACTTCAAATGCATCCACAATCTGGAGATGACACGTGCTTTTTTTTTTTTTTTTCGGTCGTGGGGCTTGAACTGTAGGTGTGGGCACTGTTCCTGGGCTATTCAGCTCAAGGCAAGCGCCCTACCACTTGAGCTACAGCGTCACTTGACACATTCTTTTTGTTTCTTTATTTTGAAATGTATATCTAACAAGCATATCCACAATACTGATTTTCAGTCAATATGATGGGATATTCAAACTTTAAAAATACGGGGTTTATTATATTAGTGTGAATAGATACGATCTTACAAAAAACGTTATTTTCAATAGAAATGCGAAAAGAGTTTATCCACCTTGTGTTTCACAGGAATAACCAGAAAGTAATACCTGTTTGATCAAGTCACTCAAAATCACTCCATGAGTATATCTTAAAAGTATAACCAATTTAAGAGGTCAAATACATATTTTGTACTGACAGCCATCTTACAGCAATAACTTACTACCTAATTATATGTGTATCTTCTTACCTAACAAATACTAAGAGCTGAAAGTGATCTCTTTTATCTAACTTAATTGTGTAAATGCTTTGATAATGATATTGTTATCATTTGACAAATAAAATGTACAGAAGGGTGGTTCCACTGAAATGACAGAATGGAACACTGATAAATAAAAACATAACAACAGCTCTTGTAAGCCTCACCCTGTCCACATTGCCAAGCAACATTGCAACAGCACAAAGCACACATATACACATACACACAGGTGTGCACATGCACACACACATATACACGCATGCCAAATTCAGGGTTTATTGTACAAAAAATTTCAAATAAAATGTTAGTGATTAGGACAAATGATAATTTGCCTTATTACAAAATAATACATAAGCCAGTCACCATGGTTGTTACATTTTACCTTCCACTCCACATGTGACCACTTAATTTATTTTTAGTTAATTAATTAATTCATTAGTTTGTTGCTAATACTAGAGCTTGAACTCAGGACCTGGCTCTGTCCCAGAATTATTTTTTTGTTTTAGTTTTCTCAAGGCTAGCATTTTACTGCTTGTACCACAGATCCATTTCTAGCTTTTGCAGGTTACTTTCAAATCAAAATCTAATAGACTTTTTTTCTTGGTCTGATTTCAAACCACAATCATCAGATTTTGTCTTTTTGATTAGCTAGGATTAAAGAAATGAGCCACCAGTGTGGATCCTACTATTTCCTATACTAATCTAATGCACATACTTAGATAGTAATTTAAAACTGAGAGCATAGAAGCAAGATGTACAGTGATGATCTTGTCCTGTCAGAAATTCAAGTTAGTAATGTAAATTTCTTCTTAAGAGCATGCACAAAAAATACTTAGGAAGAAATCTGATGATGTGTGTGTATATGTGTGTATATGTGTGCATGTGTGTGTGTATGTGTGTGTGCGCGCAGTTGCAATATGTTCCACATAGAAGCACTGTGCAGGGTGTCCAGCCATTCACAGTTATTGCATGAATATCTGCCTTGACTACCAACTCATGGACAATGTCTAAGTGTCCACTCTAGGCTTCCCTATGAAGAGGGATATACTCATCCTCATCCCTAGTATTCATATGAATGGCCTTTTTGGAAAGTAGTCTCCACACTTTAGTAAGCTGCAAGGCAAGCACTATACCATGAGCCACCTTCCCAGCCCAAGGAGTAAAATTCTTGTCTGTAATTTGGTCAAATGTATGTCTCTTTATGTAGGCTACTAAAAATGTGTTTACTAATTTAAAGTAAATAAATAAATTCTATTTCCATCTCTTTAAAGAGATTGTTCTGTAAATCAATCAGAAGCATGGATTTTGTGGCTAGATAGGTCATTGCACAACTGTATCTCTTTTCCTCTCTCTCTTTCATGTTTCTCATAGATAATATAATTGCTCCATAATTATCCTAATTTGTTTTGCTTTTATATTTTTGGTTGTATCATTTCACTTTCTGCCCTGCCATTTCCCAAATCAGCACCACATAAACAGAAAAATCTGGAAGTGGTGCTGTGGCTCAAGTGGTAGAGCACTTGCCTTGATTTGAAGAGCTCAAGGACAGTGCCCTGGCCCAGAATTCAGACCCCACAACTAATTTAAAAAAACATCTAAATCCTTTATAATTCTAGTAACAGATCTGACTGAAATCAGTGGAATCACACTTTTCCTGTACAATGAAGGAATAGGTCCAGGCTAGGAAAGTAACTAGAGAAGGCAGGCTGATTGTATGTGTGATAAATCTTTTTGGAAAATGGTATCGAGTATTACTTACTGGTGATCCACTTGTGCTGGAAGCATGATTCTGAACTATTGCTTGCTGATTCTGAACTATTGCTTTGATCATTATATTCTCCAAGAAGAAAAGTGAAATTCACCTAAAGACAATAAACAGGCCTACTTTTTTATATGAAAACAAGTGTCTTTTAAAAAAACAAGGAATTTAAGTAGCTATGCAAAGTACTTCTATTTTACTACTGCATTATACATTTTTTTCTAATTTGAGTACCAATGAATTATGGATCTATTAGAAAGCTCTTATGTTGAATAGTGAGTTCACTTACACTATTTCATGGTATTTCCCAAATCATTTACATAGAAGGTATTGTTTCCTATTTTCTCATTCCTAGAATAAGCTGCATATGAAGATACCACTGGTCCTCATTTTCAGTCTGTACCTTTGAATACGGAGCAAAATCTTTTTCTGCTCTCTATCAATCCCTACTCTCCAGGTAGAATAATTTAGAATAGTAAAAATGGAAAAAGAGAAAATAAATCACGGTGAAAAAACATACCGAAAATTCACCGGATTTTTCCGACCAGTTCAACCAACGTGAACTATACGGGAAATTCATTGACACTTCATTCCCACTGGTACTCAAAGTCTCTGGTTAGGCAATTCTGATGAAGACAAGGAACAATATGAAAAGTGAGAAATGGTATCAATTACAAGACAAAAATGGAGAAGGATCCAAGTAAATTTCTTCTTTGGGATGCTGAAATTAATCGGCTTACTACAGTGCGGAGACTACTTTCCAAAAAGGCCACTCATATAAATACTAGGGATGAGGATGAGTATACACCTCTTCATCGAGAAGCCTACAGTGGACACTTAGATATTGTCCATGAGTTGGTAGCTCAAGGCAGACAGTCATGCAATAACTTTGAATAGCTGGACACCCCTGCACAGTGCTTATATGTGGAATAATACCAGAGTGGTTTCTTTCTTACTTCATCATGATGCAGATACAAATGCCCAAACTAAAGTCCTCTTGACCACCTTGCATCTTGCTGCTGGGAATAGAAATAGCAAAGATATGCTGTATCTACTTCTGTTGAACAATTATATCAAACAAGGTCTGAAGAACAACTTGGAAGAAACTGCATTTGATATTGCCAAAAGGATAAGTATGTATCACTACCTCTTTGAAGTTGTGAAAGGCTTTACAAATTGTTCTCATAAATCGTAATGGTTTGGTTAAGTTCCTTAAATTTCAAAAATGCCAGTTCATCCTTTGTGTCCCTCCAAAAGTCCTAATGGTTTGGTTAAGTTTCTTAAATTTCAAAACTGCCAGTTCATCATTCATGTCCCTACAAAATATTTTCACAATGCAAAGCAACAGCAATATTTTACTTTAAAAAATCATGGATACTCTTCCAAGTGAATTGCATGACATTGATGTCTAAATATATTCAAGAGTTGTTTGTATACATCTATAATGTTTTTTTCAGAGTTTGTGATTTTTTTAAATCAGAAATAATTTTAACTTATCTGTGGAAATGAATAGTATAGAAACTTAAGTTATTCCTGATGCTTGTCTGAAAAAAGTATATCTATGTTTGTATAATGTCCATAATCCATTTCCTTCTCTCCTAGATATAATATTTTGAATTCTACATTGTTTTATAATATATAGGTTAATTAATAAATGTGTCCATTCAAATTGCATTCCATATAGAAAAAGTTTAAGATTCCTTTTTTTCCCTAGGTCCTTATAGTATTTTATTTCTTTGGGATAAGATGACAATGTTATCTAATTTCAAGTTTTGTAAAGGTTATGCTATGTAATGGCCTTTCTAAGGTGAAGATTTAAACACTGATGTCAAACTAACCTTTAATTCTATGAATTATATGTGCTGTTACACTTGTACTTTTGTAATCAACTTTTTAATAACTGTTTTTCATTTCTTGCATCTGAAAAATGAAAAATATGGAGTACTTCACAAATTTTTATATTATCCTTGTGCAAGTGCCATGTTAATCTTGGTATTGTTGTCATTTGGTAGACTTGCTGCTGAAGCGTGTAGTATCCTCTAAATTTAAGTATCTAATGATGCAATCTTTATACAGGCATATATCCTTGGTTGCCTATTTGTAACAATGAACCCTTATTGTTCCTAAAAATGTTATTGATCTTATTTCTATAAATTTCTGTTTATATTGGAAAAAACTTATATTGTTTGGTGGATTGCTCACATTTGCAATTTTTCTTTCAATTACTATTTTGTCTTTTTCATTTTAAATTTGATCATATTTTGAAGCCTTTATAGCTAAGTCCAAAGGTGATGGCTTTTCAAGTACTTACTTATCAACTGAGTTAGCTTTGTGGAGCTAATGGATTCAAAGTAAGCCTTCTTAAAAGCTACTTCGAAATTTCTGCAGCTTAAAATTTCCAAAATGAGGTCTCAATGGCACTAATGTCTACCTGATCCTTTACCCTTCTTCCATGTAGGAAGAGACCAACCAGAATATCTTACCGTGAGAGCATAGATTGTCTTACTGGAACAAAACTGATCTTAGTTACAAGGGATCACAGAGAGATGAACATTTGAGAATGAATTATTCAGAATAGAAGGTATTTTATAAAAACACGCATGAGGATGAGTATACCCCTCTTCCTGGGGAAGCCTACAGTGGACACTTAGACCTTGTCCATGAGTTGGTAGCTAAAGGCAGATATTCAAATATTTTATTAAAATACCTTTGTTTATTATACCAAACATTTCAAAAGTAGCTAAAGCCAAGAAGGTGAAAATATTGTTCATATGCATGATTACCTAATGTCCTAGCCTGTCTACATTCCAACCAGGCAGGAACTTACACTACTGACTTTCTATCAACAAATATTTTCATAGCTCCTGGACAAGTCCATATGTTTCTCCTCGATATTAGGCCTTAAATTGGTAACGTTTTAATCACAGTGTTTCCTCTTGCCTCTAGGCTGTAAATCTCGAAATGGTAAAGCTTTAGATCTAACTCTACCAAAAACTGAGGTAGAGATAATGGAACAATACTTTAAAACGGAGTTGCCTTTGATACGCTAACCACAACGGAACAATGGAAAATAATTTCTTATATCATATATACTTATATATTTTTATTTATATGTGTTGATCTTAAATTTCACACAGTGAAACTTACTAGAATTAGATGAGAATTTGACAACTAAATTGATATTTATTCCCATAAATAGATTAGAATATAAATAATTAGGTTTAGAATATTAGAGTATAAAAAGTATCAATGCAATGTCTTCGGTATAAATTTGTGATACCTTCTAAGTGTTCTTGGTCTTCTGAATTCACATGGTAAAAAAACAGTATTGTTTTCCTCTAATCTATAAAGTATTTTACTCTGTTGCTCTGTTTATTGTTTTAAGTCTCTGGTCCCAAACTGTTTTCCTCCATATTTCTGAAGCATTCTTACTAATTTTACCAAAATTTTGCTGATATGAAGTCTAAAAGCTATTATTCTTCTGCAGGACCCACGGGTCCTAGGATACCAGGTCCCAGGTATCTACATCATCAGATAACAAGAGCAAGACTTCTCACCTAGGCCCATGAAACATGCCAACAGTAAGTAAATGAAGACCTGTCTCAATTTCTCATTTCTTATAATATTTCAGGTCCTTAATTCCTTGCAGGATTTAGCTATAAGCTATTGTGAAATGCAAGTCAATTTAAAATGAAAGATGAGATCATAAAATATGAGAGAATGTACTGTAATTCAAACTTTCAATTTACAGATGACAAGCCTATTTGAGTGAACAAAATCACAAATATCACAAGATTATTTTTAATACCTTCTCCTAATGATTAATGAAAGATTTCAGCCCAGCATAAGTAGGCCAAAAATACTTCCTGGAATGGTAGATCCATACATGGTCTACCAAGGCTAGGAAATCTTGACTTAGAGGTCAAATATAATTCAGAAAAACTTTAATTGAAAAGATCCTTAGTGCTTCAAAAAACTGTTACTTCAGTAAAACTTGGTTCTGTAGTATAAAAATGTTGTCATTCTCAAACCAATGATAACCTACATTTAATCTTCTGAAAGTATAGTCCTTTTCGAATAAACTTTTTAAAATCACATTCGCCAGAATAACACTTGACAAGTAGATGATAGTGACATTACAAGTTTTTCAATGTAGGGGCAAGTTACAATAGAATTGATTTATTACCCAGCACTAATCCCAAACAAGTTCAACCATTCATTAAATTGTAGAAAAATTACCCCCCACACCATTGGCGTTGTTCTGTAGATGCCTTCCCGAAATGTGTTAAACAGATCAGCATCCCATATTTCAAACCCAAATATAAGCTAATAAAGTAAATTTCATCACATAAGAAGGTACATTTTAAAAAGTCACTAATAGTTGCCTTATCATTTGTTGTTTTATGTTTTCCCTGTCTAACATAGTAAGAAATATGACTTTAAGTCTTGAATATGGGTACTCATCAGAGATGTGACAAACATAAAATCTGTCTTCTATTTCTATCATATACCTCTATAGTAGTAAATCTTAGTTTTCTTCTTTTTCCAAATAAATAAAATAATCACACCATTTTACAAAGCCATATATAAAAATTAGTACAATAAATTCTAAGCCATTTTTAAACTTTTCTGTTGACTAAAGATTAATCTTCCAAATTGATGAGAATAAAATCATGTCTAGGTGCTTCACATCTCCAGTCTTGCAAATGAATTATGGAAATATAAGCTGACATCACTTCATGTATATGCGGGATTGAAACTGCATAGGATGTATATAAACCTTTCAAAATATTAACAGACAGTTTAACAGAATGACTATCAGGAAATTGAAACCTGAGAGGAATAATAGTAAAGACATAGAATGAATGAAAAATGGAACAAGGGCAAGTATATCTAGAATACTCAATATACACATGTAATAAATGAAGTGGTAAATCTGAAATAAATCTTGGAGAAGGGGTTGGTTGAGAATGATAGAAGGAGTGACTCTGATCCTGGAGCATTTGATAATTAGATGGACATATTTAATTGTAACATACTTGCACAACCTTTTGAAATTCAGTTAAAAAACACAACAACAAACAAAAACACAAAAATCACAACCAAACAGCAATCTCTAGAGAGTATGAATATGACCTATCAAAATTTTAAGCAGTTAATGAAGGGCAGTCTTGGGAAAAGCAAACAAAGCTGTTCAAAGAGGGCAGTTTGGGGTAGGGGCGAATTTAGAACAGATTAAGTACATTGTCAAAGGTTATAAAGCACCTACATCTACTGCAAATGTTTTCATCTGCGAGCGCTCTTTGTCTGAACTGGGCACTCCAGTCATGAGGCACACTTGATAGCTGTGAAGATAGAATGGAAGAAACAAGATCAAGAACGCATTATTCCACTGGAGAGAAAACATTTCTCTATGTTTTCTCTCATCTGTCTTCATTACTCTTTTTTCATACCTTTATTAAAATCAAGTGATTTTGAATTATATCTTTCCTTCTTTGTTCTGGCAAAGTAATTGTTCAAAATATTTCACTAAATTTTATTTCCCACTATTTTCTATCATACTGTTTACTTGTCCAAGTGAGTCCATTAAACTTCCCCTTTGCATTTGGTTGCCACGAAAACTCAACATCTATGTTAATGAGGATAAACTGTAATGCAAAACTTTGTCTCCAAAAAACCAGTCCAAGAACCTGTAATCACAAATATTTAGCTATAATTTTTTTCTTTTTTCTTTTACTTTGAAAATCTTCTCGTGTCTAAAGTGCCCTCAAAAATAAATACTCTACCTTGAGAGCATTGGCACCCACCCCTGGGTATCTAGACAGGGAACAGACCTAAGAAAGGAAACCTCCATTTTCAAAAGTGAATCATTTGGGGTTGAGGAACACCAGCGAACTCTTCATTTGTTTGTTTTGCTTTACTTGATAATGTAACCCAGTTCTTGAACGGCAGTAGATTAGAATAAATTTAGGGCATTAAATTAAAAAAAAACCAAAAATAAATAAATACTCCACCACTTTTTGCTTCAATCACTTCTAACCTCAAAGATATATTTTGCTAACAAGATGCTTAGAAGAAACCGAAGAATACTCCACTTTTATCTTCTCTCTTAAGACTCTCCTTAGATACCATATAGAGAACAGTGAAGTTATTCTTTGCAGAATTATTTCAATAGATTATTTTTCTCATGGTCTTGCGTTTGCTCAACAAGATGTATGGAGAAGAATAGAGTTAAATTACCCATTCCTTGGATTACAGTGTCTGTTACAAAGGCAATACTTCTATGTCCTACTTCTCTGTTCTCCTCTTAGCTCTTGACTGATTTCCAATTAATCACAGCTTCTTAGCTTCAGGTCTAGTAAAGCTGAAGGACTATAAGGCCTTCCGCACTACTATATCTTCATGGTTTCTCTTTCAAAACTCTTTTATTTGGATGTGGAATTTATTTTCATGTCTTCAATATGTTCTGCAATACACTGAGCCAAATAGACTCTGTAAAATCACTTTAGGTAGCAAAAACATTAAGACAATCTATATGAAAAAGTTATGGTCTCCCTCCAGTGCAGAAGCCAATACGCTTAGCTAAGGCTTCTAAGAACACATTTTCTTACCTTTTCAATATTCTCAATTCTTTTCTGATCCCAAAAGTTTTTGGCTTATGTAATAAGAGAAGTCTTCACTATCTCATGTTAATAAGGATATTATATTTTTGAGCACTTAGAAATGTGAAATCATTGGTTTGATGTATCCAATCAGATTTTTTTCAGTGTTTCACTGCTTCATGTGGAAAGATATTGTGGAAAGTATTACAAACAGAAAAGTGTAAACCCAATACCTTCTTTCATTGTGGAGGACACTCTCTCCCTAAATAATTTGAACCAAATTATCTTTTTCAGAAAATTACTGTTTGGTAATTAAAGTCAATTCACAAATTTTCATTTCTTATTTTTTTTTTAATATTTGAGTTTAAATACCACTACAACCTTGTTTTCACACAGTAAGAGTATTTTTCCTGGTTAAGGTCAATTCTCAAGG